GGCGAGGCGGTGGGACACCTTTTATACGCGCCCCGCCCCTTTTCCCATCAGCAATCTAACTTTGCGCTCAAATTTCTTGGTGTTGAGCTGTTCAATTTAAATAGTTTACTAATCGATAGAGAAAGGCTTAGCGCATCTAATGATACCAATAATTTGTAAATTGAATAGCCCAACACCAAGATATTTGAGCTCAAAGTTGGATTGTCAATGGCAAAAGGGGCGCGGCGCCCTATCAAATGTCCGATAAACGAAAACGGTTTATTGTATAAAAATAGGGTTAGCTTGTGTTCTTTTTTGAAGCTTTGTGAAGATCTCACGTAAAAGGAAAAATATCAAAAATTTCGAGAACAATGTGACAAGGTTCACTTTCTGAAACTCACCCTTTCCTCACCAAAACCCCAAACGAAAGCCGTTTCCATTGTGCAGAGCAATAAATGCGCAAATCGAAACTCTTCGTGGCTTTTTAGGGAATCAGTCGAAATCTCCGGTAATTCGTGTAAATTCTCGCGAATCGTCCCATTTTTGATCCACTCAGGGATTTTAGCTGGAAATTTTTTCTTTTGTGTTTCAAAGTTTTCAAGAGAACGAAGAGAGTTTTCACGTTAATATGCTTTTAGAATTTTAGAGTTTAAACTTGAACAGATAACTTTTAGAGAAACCACACAAATATCAATAATATCGATCATAATATCAAGTTTAATCTTTTTAAACTTTCAAAACGTTTCCCGAACACTCAACGAGTTAAAGGAAATTTGAAACTAAGCTTTTAGAAAGCAATGTTTGCAATCCTTAATTCATATTGCTTATTAAAGAATAATATTTCAAACTTGAATTTGTTTAAATTAGATTTAAAGGTTTAAAGGTAAAGATTTAAAGGTTTAAAGGTTTAAGGGTTTAAAGGTTTAAAGATTTAAAGGTTTAAAGGTTTAAAAGTAAATGTTTAAAGGTAAAGGTTTAAAGGTTTAAAGGTAAAGATTTAAAGGTTTAAAGGTTTAAAGGTTTAAAGGTTTAAAGGTTTAAAGGTAAAGATTTAAAGGTTTAAAGGTTTAAAGGTTTAAAGGTTTAAAGATTTAAAGGTTTAAAGGTTTAAAAGTAAAGGTTTAAAGGTAAAGGTTTAAAGGTTTAAAGGTAAAGATTTAAAGGTTTAAAGGTTTAAGGGTTTAAAGGTTTAAAGATTTAAAGGTTTAAGGGTTTAAAGGTTTAAAGATTTAAAGGTTTAAAGGTTTAAAAGTTTAAAGGTTTAAAGGTTTAAAGGTTTAAAGGTTTAAAGGGTTTAAAGATTTAAAGGTTTAAAGGTTTAAGGGTTTAAAGGTTTAAAGATTTAAAGGTTTAAGGGTTTAAAGGTTTAAAGATTTAAAGGTTTAAAGGTTTAAAAGTAAAGGTTTAAAGGTAAAGGTTTAAAGATTTAAAGGTTTAAATTACAAGTATTAGATTGGTAACTTGCATTAGTATTAGATTAGATTAGATTGGCAACTTGAAAGTTGATACACTTTTTCTTATTTCCAAGAAAACAGATTTAATATTGAATTGAATTAAAATCCTCTAAAACTTATATATTATCGAATTTAAGAAGTTGAAAGAAAAGAAGAAAGAAGTTGCTTAAGCAAATTTGGGCAATTTTTGGAACGAATTTGATCAAAAATTGAAGTTTTTCAATTTTCACAATTTTCATCTTTTTTTGAGGCGCTTTTTAAGTTCTATTTCAAATATGATTTTGTAGAGAAATAAGTGAGTTTTCTAATGATACTATCCACGTGTCATTTGATAAGTTTAATGGTTAATAGCAAAATATTAGGCTGTCGAGAGCGTCTTTTCGTTCCTTTTCGTACTTTCGTTGAAAAATAACAAATTTACCAATTTAACCTATGGTTTCCTCTTAATAAAAAATGTTTATTTTTCAATTTTCCACCTTTTTAAGTCAATTTTGATTCACTTTCAAGCAAATTCGAAAGGGAAAATCGTGTTTTCCGCAAAAATCTGTAAAAACCTCTACAGAGAAATTGGCTAAATAAATTTCTCTGAAAATTAGGCTATATACTTAACGCTTTGTGCTCTATCTTTTATCTATTGACACAAAGATAGGTTTCCTTAGCTAAAGTGTCTAAATCGAATCATCGAGCCGTCTTTTTGACTATCCGACTTCATGCTCTCAAAAAATCCAGACAAAGGCATTTTAAACTAGTTTTAATGTTATTTTATGGAAAAATAGTTGGTTTTGCTAATGAAATAAACCGTAATTCAATTGGTGCATTTATTGGTTTTAAACGAAAGTATGAAAAGAAACGAAAAGAAATGAAAAGACTTCCTGGACAGCCAAACAATCACCAAAGCTATTCAGCGTAAAGAATAAACAAAATTTTTCCTTAAAACGACCCATCCTTTATGCACTTTAATAGAATTTTTATATTTTTTGAGTGTTTTTTCAAGAATTTTAAGTAAAAAGTTAAGTTTTTTACTAAAAAAAATCTATGGTCAAATATGAAAAAAAGCATGTTTCAAAATATTTAATGTGAAACAAGAGTCGGAAAAATTAATTTCTGAATTATTGCATTGCAATTATCATTTCTGCCACAATTTTCATTTGTTTCCTTGTTAATAACGAAATCTATTAAATTTGGAGTTTGTTAAACCCTTTGAAATTCCAAGAAAAACAATCATCCGGCTTTTTTTGACTACCCGACTTCATCAGCTCCCAAAAAGATCCAGAAATAAGACATTTTCACCCCGTTTTAATTTTATTTTGCAGAAAAATAATTGAATTTTTTGATGAAATAAACCGTAGTTCAATTGGTGCATTTGTTGGTTTTAAACGAAAGTATGAAAAGAAAAGAAAAGAAAAGAAAAGACTTTCTGGACAATCTGGATATTAGTGGAGTTAAAGAAATTTTGGCAATAGTATTGAGTAAAAAAGGATTTTCTACAACATAAACAGGTACAAATTTATGATAGACAAGGACATGATGGATAGATTGACTATAAGTTTACAACCAACCACACGCATCAATCCACGGTTGAAATTCCGGCGACAATTTCTGCAATGGGCTCACTTCAAGGAATCCAAATTCCTTTGTGATCCGAAAACGCTCGAAAAGATCCACATCGAATTTGTTAGTTTCTTTTAGACGCATAATGAAACGAAATTTTGTAAAGCTGGTGATTTGGGGATTTTTGACAAGCTGACCTCCGATTTTATCAGCAAATTTGGCTTGTGTCATTTCGAAGGAAAGAAGGAAGCAGAAAGAAAGAGGAAGCAGAAAAAAAAGTGAAACTTTGGAAATTTTCAATGAAATTATGGACAGTTTTCTTTTTTAGATATAAATAAGAAATATTCTTGAATAGAAACTATTTCAATCAATGATTATCATAAAATTTTAGTTATTCTTCAACTGTAACTCTTGCTTTCACTTTGAACTTATCAAATTTGAGATAATGACTTTGAAATTTGGATTTTTTTGAATTGTAATTGTAGATTGTTTGAATTGTAATTGTAGTATTAGGTGTGTGAAAAAGTAATCCACGTTTTTTATTTTTATTTTGTTTAAATAAATATATCTAAACAATTTTTAATTTTTTGTTAACGATATATATTAGGTTGATGCATAAGTCTTTTCGTTCCTTTTCGTCTGCCGTTTCAAGCCAACAAATGCACCAATTAAACTACGGTTGATTTCATTAGAAAAAGCAATTATTTTTCTGCAAAATAACATTAAAACGGGTTTAAAAATATTTAATGCCTGGATTTTCTTGAGAGTATGAAGTCGGGTAGTCAAAAAGGGCTAACTCGATGATGCGGTTTAGACACCTTAGCTAAAGAAAACCTATCTTCGTGTCAATAGATAAAAGATAGAGAAAAAAAACGTTTGATATTTCGCCAAAATTTCAGAGAAATTCATTCAGCCAATTTTTCCGTAGAGTTTTTTATAGATTTTTACGAAAAAGGCGTTTTTCACTCTCGAATTTGCTTCAAAGTGAACCGAAATTCATTTAAAAAGATGCAAATTGAACAAAAAAACACTTTTTTTATAGAGCAAACTATAGATTAATTGGTGAATTTGTTACTTTTTAACAGAAGTACGAAAAAAACGAAAAGACTTATGCATCAACCTATTAGATCGTAACCGTTTACGAAATTCAGCCGCTAACGAATGAGGGTATTTCCGGGCATCCAATCAAAAAAGTCACCCACATGAAAAATGTTCATAATACATATATTTTATAATAAATTTTTGAAATTAGCTCATTTGGTTCAGTAGAAAATTTTTTTTGAGCCCCCAAAGTTTAGGTTCAAAAATGCCCTAAAATGGCTATAAAAGATTTTCTACTCAGCCAAAAAACTTGCCTAATAGCTCATTTTGTAGCCAATTTGATGTAGTTTCTTAAAGTAAAGCCATCTAAAACAATTTTTCGTTGAAAGTAGGAGAAAGAGGGCGAGGAACAAATTCAGGGCAATGCTCAAATGTGAAAACGGCGACCGAGTTCAACTGAAGTCGTTCCTCGCCCTCTTTCTTCTAGCTTTGAAAAACAAATGTTCAATGTAGCTTTACTTTAAGAAACTAGATCAAATTGGCTACAAAATGAGCTATTAGGCAAGTTTTTTGGCTGAGTAGAAAATTTTTTATAGCCATTTTAGGGCATTTTTGAACCTAAACTTTGGGGGCTTAAAAAAAATTTTCTACTGAACCAAATGAGCTAATTTCAAAAATTTATTATAAAATATATGTATTATGAACATTTTTTATGTGGGTGACTTTTTGATTGGATGCCCGGAAATACCCTCATTCGTTAGCGGCTGAATTTCGTAAACGGCTACGACATATATATCGTTTCAAAGCTTATTTTTTCCTCTTTCGAATGATATATTCATTTTGTTAAAAGGACGACAATAAACTACTTTAATTTTAGTTTGAAAATGGTATACACAAGTATCGTTATTCGGTCAAATTTGCTTTATGAGTTCAAAAATGGGTTGAAAGCTGCGGAGGCTGCACGTCGAATTCGGAATGCGTTTGGCGAAGACGCCGCTACTGATGATACGGCTAGGTTTTGGTTGCAACGATTCAAAGGTGGTAATGAAAGTCTAGAAGATGAACCACGTGGCGGTCGCCCTGAGACCTGTTCGGATGACCAAATAAGACGCTGTCTTCTCGAAAACCCTCGTCCAACCTCTTCAGAAATAGGCCTTACATTAAATTGTGATGGGTCAACCGTAGGGAAACGCTTGAATGCCATGAATTTTATCAAAAAGTTGGACAAATGGATACCGCATAAACGTTAAAAACGTGGATTACTTTTTCACACACCTAATAGAAATTGTAAACGATTATTTTATGATCAAGCTAACATTACTTTTCATTATCTTAATGATTCAACGATTTCAAATTGTTAAAATTGAAATCATCGCTTTATTTTTGAGTATTAAGCATTTGAGCATCGTTTAAACAAATCAATAAAAGGAAAAAGCAAAAATGTAAACAATTTTTCATCAATAACACTCTTTACATTCTTTAATCATCTCAAATAATGCGCTGAAGCAGCTGAGCAAAATGAAATTGTAAAGGATGAAGAGAAGAGCGATGAAAATTTGGAAAAAATTCCCGTTAATAAAACCTGGCGATGCCGATGGCCGAGTAGAGAAAAGCGGCACAGATCTAGAAAGATCTAGAAATCTAAATCTAGAAAGATTTAGGTTTGAATTCTTTGAAATTAAGAACAACTTCTTTAAGTTAAATAGTTTAAAACATAACTTAAAAGCATTTATATATATACTTTATCCGACAAGGAAAAGTGACAATGCAAACAGATTGAACAGCGTAGACGAAGAAAGATAATTGATATACAAACACAACTACAATTAGACACGTGTATATATGACATTAAAAACTAATTTAAAATTGACAGAGCTACAAGATCGAGCTTATATATTGAGGATTTAAAATAGTTCAGAGACGAAAAAATATCACAAGGTAACTTATTCCAAATACGAGGAACACGACAAGCAAAAGAATGATACAGTTGGCGGTTATGAAAGCTTTGAAAGGGGGTAATCTGAAAGTTGTGACTACGAGTTCTTCTGGCGTGATTCGAAATCTTCCTTTAAGTCCTTTAAGTCCTTTAAATTGAGTCCTTTAAGTTCCAGATGAGAGTTAGGAGAGAAGATGATTTTATAGCATAAGACCAAATCAAAATAAATGCGGCGATGGGATAAGGGTTTAAGGTCAAAAAGAGCAAGTCGATCAGAATAGCAAGGAATTTCTTTCGATGGGAAACAACGGGCATACGCCCTCCTACTGAAACGACGCTGAACGTTCTCAACCAAAGAAATTAACTTTTGGAGGCAGGGAGACCAAACAAAAGTGGCGTACTCGAGCAAAGGGCGGCAGTAGGTAATGAACGCTTTACGATAAGTAGCAATTGAGAGAAAACAAACAGCGCGAAGTATAAGGTTTGAGATGCGAAAAGCTTTTTTTGCCATCTGTTCAATATGAGTGTTGAATTTAAGAGAGGGAACAAGTAAAACACCAAGATCTTTGATTGGGTCGTCAGAAGTGGCTTCAGATAAAGTGATATTCCCTAACTTAAGAGTAAAATGGGAAGGACCAAATGTTACTTGTCTACATTTTTCGACGGCAATTTTCAGCTGCCAGGTTATGCTCCATTTTAGGATCGAGTCTAAATCTCTTTGAAGATAATAAAGACCAAATTGGGTGTTTGATCGGGGGATTTTGCGATAAAGTTTTAAATCATCTGCATAGAGACGCACCATGGTACCGGGAGTTAAAGAACTATGAATATCGTTGATTTTAAGTTAATCTTTACCAGAAAACTTTTTGCCAATCTTTTCGCAATTTGAACGGCTTAGATAAGGACGGAAAATTTGGATTGAAATAAGTAAAATTTTCTAAAAAGAAGTTAGGCTACGCGATTCTACGAGAAGATGGATTAATTCGAGTTCTATTCGAGTATTTTACGGTGACTATTGACCTATAAAGTCACTCGTTTAAGTCGCGCATTTTGAAACACGAACTTTATTGACTTTTGTCTTAATGACTTTTCATTAAGACTAGGATCTAACTATAAGCGATAATTGTATCGGTGCATTAGGAGCGAAATGATAAGAGACAATTCCAGTACACTGTGCTCCTCCTTTCATTTCGAATGACGATCAACCCCTTTGCGATGCTGTCGAGCAAGCGATCCGACCGTGTTTATGCTGTAAAAAGGAATGCTGGTACACGATTGTTTCCGTTCGTTTTTTTTTTTGATAATTATTTTGAGCTCTATTTTTTTCCATTTAAAAAACTGAGTTTCAAAATAAGCCGAAAAAAGAAAGATTAGATGTGGATTGGTTAAATCATTTTTCCCCAGTTTTGCATCAAATAAATCAGCACTTCTGTGAAAATATTGAACGTTGAAAAGTTTTTGCGAAAAAAACTGTGTGTTTTTAAAATCTAGAATTAGCAATTACCTATTAGTTACGCATTTTGAGCTAAATGATAACAGAAAAAGAATTAGCATTTCAATTTTTAAAGAATTAGCCTTAGCATTTCAAAAAAAGTAACAAAGCATTGGAAAGAATTAGTTTTAAGTCTAAATCTATCAGTTATCAGCTTCAGTTCCAGGCTCAAGTCTATCAGTTATCAGCTTAAGTTCCAAGCTCAAGTCTATCAGTTATAAGCTTCAGTTTCAAGCTCAAGTCTATCAGCTATCAGCTTCAGTTTCAAGTCTAAGTCTATCAGCTATCAGCTTCAGTTTCAAGTCTAAGTCTATCAGCTATCAGCTTCAGTTCCAGGCTCAAGTCTATCAGTTATCAGCTTCAGTTCCAAGCTCAAGTCTATCAGTTATCAGCTAATAATAAATACAATTCTTTCCAGAAAAAAAAATTGACAGTTGGTCGACTTTTGGTTTTAAAACCGAATTGAGAAATAACAGTCACTTTCTCAGGCAGCCACACACGAGCTCGGTTACATGCCCGGTGAGGCCGGTGAACAAGAAGCGCTCTCCACGCTAAAGGTTAGTGATAAAGTTGCAACTAGAGCAGATCAAAAACTTGTGCCGGGGCTGAAACCCGCGACTTTTCACTTACTACTGTAGACAACCATTAACCATAACCATTACACCACTTGATCTCTCTCTCTCTGAGAGAGTTAACTACGAAGTTTTCCCCATTTTTCAAAACTTATAAATCAAAAACCAAATCTCCAGGCTAAATTTGAATGTGATTAACTTAAAAGCAAGATATTTGAAAATAGAACTTGATTTTGGAAAGTAATCTTTACTTTTTATTAATCTTTTTATTTTAAATGCGAATTATTAGACAATAAAGCCCATTGTTTTATACAGAAATTTCAAAATTCAACAAAATTTCAGTCAATCCGTCAATGCGTCATCGAGAATTGCGCTCAAGTTTGCCTTAAATGAGAGAAAAAAACTCGATTTTCTTTAGTTTCCCTTTTTTTTCTTGTTCAATAAAGAAATTTATTAAAGCTTTGAAGCAATTGCTGCATTTACACACAAGAAGTCCAATAGATCTATGATTGCTTCAAAGCTTATTGTTTTTGTTTATTGTTTTGGTAAGTAAAGAATGCAAATTATTAAACAGGTTTACCTTTTTTGAGAAGCTAATGCTAGATTCGGACTCTCAAAAGTCTTCAGTCTTCAGTTTCAAATTTCCCACTCCAAATCGGCCTCACAATCGGCCTCACCAATTCCTAATCCACCGACGGGTATTGTTAGTCACCAAAAAAAGTCTCATTCGATTTGAATTGAAAATAAAATCCCGAATACTTGGACTTCTTTCAACAGCTATTTTCATTTTTCAATCTAATCAATCTAATCAATCTAATCATCAATCTAATCAATCTAATCAATCTAATCAATCTAATCAATCTAATCATCAATCTAATCAATCTAATCAATCTAATCAATCTAATCATCAATCTAATCAATCTAATCAATCTAATCAATCTAATCAATCTAATCAATCTAATCAATCTAATCAATCTAATCAATCTAATCAATCTAATCAATCTAATCAATCTAATCAATCTAATCAATCTAATCAATCTAATCAATCTAATCAATCTAATCAATCTAATCATCAATCTAATCAATCTAATCAATCTAATCAATCTAATCAATCTAATCAATCTAATCAATCTAATCAATCTAATCAATCAAATCAATCTAATTCAATCAAATCAATCTAATTCAATCAAATTTCAATCAAATTTCAATCAAGCCTCAAATCGAATACAAATTTAGCTGCAAGGTTTATTTGCAAATTTGCAATTTAAAGAGGAAATTTAAAAGGAAACCTGCTAATCTTAAAGTGCGAAAATGTCTTTGGTTGCCTGGGGAATCTTTGGCTTTCTTATTTTCTGCTTTCTTATTACTAAAAAAAGAATTTGACCTTATACAGTGATTCAGCAATCAGCAACTTTTAACATTTGCATTTTTCCCTTTAAATAGGTGAATCACTTGGGGAGCAATGAAGCATTCCATTCGACACTTTCTTGCAACGACAGAATATCGCCTGGCGACACATTTTTTGAATACATAGTTGAACTTTTTACATACCGTAATTACTCTAATAGTTACTGTAATAGTACCCCATCCCCCTCGTACAGTCGCGTAGTCGCAAGAGTTTTTTCGTATTTCATTTTTTCGAAGCACCCGTACTTTCAAAAAATAGCCCTGAATTTCAGCTATTTTTTGATACTTAAGCGCGCATTGTAGCATAAACCAGTGTGGAGAAAAACTCGTTCAAAGCTAGACTACGCAACACTCCGCACCGTCATTATTGGGGTGGGGTACTATTACAGTATTTACGGTAGTTTTACAGTTGAATTTCTAATCAGGATGTTCTTTTTTGCTTTAATAGTTCCTGTTTGAAGATGAATAAGATGAAAATCGAAGAAACAGTAATCGATAAATCTCGATTTTTCAAAGAAACAGTAATCTCAGCAATCGATAAGTTTTAAGCGCTTTCCTTTTGTTTCATATGTTGACCGTGAAGTTATGGATTGGGGTTGAGAATCGAAAAACTTGTCGGCCCTGGGATTACCTCTCACTTACCCGGGTCATCCCCATCGAACCAAGCCAAGATTGCGCGGGGAACACTCTACCAATCAGCCACATCAACACTTATGCCATTGCAGCCAGGAAAATGGTTTTATACCTTTACCACATGTTCAGAAGGGCTTAGAAAAAAAACAATTTTTGCAATTTTTTGCATTCTAAGCCTTTCTGAACATGTAGCAAAGGTATAAAACCCCTTTCCTGGCGGCAATGGCATAAGTGTCGATGTGGCTGATTGATAGAGTGTTCCCCGCGCAATCTTGGCTTGGTTCGGTGGGGATGACCCGGGTAAGTGAGAGGTGTCGCGTTCGAATCCCAGGACCGACATTTTTGTCCATGAGAATGAAAGTCTATCCGATACCATAAAAACCTTTGTTCAAAGACACATTTATACATAAAAATTAAAAGGAAACAAAAGAAAATACTAGCTTTTCTTAAAGTACCCGATTTTTTTAAGGTTTTTTTCTTGAATTTCCCTCAATTTGTTTTTAGCTATAGACCTTTTTCTTTGTTAAAAATGAAAGATTCAATACTTTTTCATAGATAAAATCCTTTATCTCACAAAAATCAGACCATAAAACTCGGAAACAAGTTTAAAGAAAGAAAAAAAAGACTTTCAAGACCCGTTTATGATAGAAAATCTCAAAAAAAGAAAAAAAGAAGAAAATTACATCTAATTTACACACAAAAAATCCAATAGAGAGACCGGAAATGAGCAAAAAAAAAAAGAAGAAAAAGAAAAAAGAAGAAAAAGAAAGAAGAAAAGGAAAAAAAGAAATTTTCGTTGACACAAAGGTATTGCTTTTGATGTGAAGATATTTTCCACCAATTCTATTCTATATGTCGTAGCCGTTTACGAAATTCAGCCGCTAACGAATGAGGGTATTTCCGGGCATCCAATCAAAAAGTCACCCGCATAAAAAATGTTCATAATACATACATTTTATAATAAATTTTTGAAATTAGCTCATTTAGTTCAGTAGAAATTTTTTTTTGAGCCCCCAAAGTTTAGGTTCAAAAATGCCCTAAAATGGCGATAAAAAATTTTCTACTCAGCCAAAAAACTTGCCTATTAGCTCATTTTGTAGCCAATTTTATGTAGTTTCTTAAAGTAAAGCCATTTAAAACAATTTTTCGTTGAAAGTAGAAGAAAGAGGGCGAGGAACAAATTCAGGGCAATTCTAAATGTGAAAACAGCGACCGAGTTCAACGGAAGTCGTTCCTCGCCCTCTTTCTCCTAGCTTTGAAAAATAAATGTTCAATGTAGCTTTACTTTAAGAAACTACATCAAATTGGCTACAAAATAAGCTATTAGGCAAGTTTTTTGGCTCAGTAGAAAATTTTTTATAGCCAGGCTGAATTTCGTAAACGGCTACGACATATATACCCTAAAGTCTCGAGTATAAGTTGATCCGAGTATAAGTTCTGCCTTAATTTACATTCGCTTTAATTGCTTTGAATTTCTTTTTGTTGGGTTTTTATACATTTTTATTGTTATATAAACTTTTATTATTGTTCTTGGAGCGCGGGATACTACAGGGTGACAGCCTATCACCATTGCTATTTGTTATGTGCATGGATACATCCAGACGATAGTGTTGAAGAAGACGCTGGAAAGCATCTCTTTCGACCGTCGACGTGGACTTTGGCCGGATGAAGAGGCCAGGGAGGGATCCATAAGACTGAGCACCGGAGGGGAGCAGGGCGGACGCGCCGAGCCACGCCCGGAGCAACAAATAACAGCATAAAATTGCTATAACCCCCAATAAATTTACTTCTATTATTGTTCTTAAAAAGCAAAAAAGTTATGCTGCAGCGGGGTTCGAACCCTCGACACACCGCACCGGAGACAGCCGTCAATTTGCATGCGAAAACCAGACAGAACTTATACTCGCGACTATAGGGTAACTCTTTTTTAAAGGTAATACTTTTCAAATTTGTTTTCCGATTTGAAAAGTATAAGCTGAAGGATTTTTGTGTCTATTGACACCAAGAATTAGTCATTTTTCATTTTTTTTGAGAATAATGGGGTTATTTGCAAGCTATTAAACCAAATATTTACTCAAGTTATCATCATTTTTTTTGCAGAAATCCTTCAGCTTTTCAAAACTTGAAATGAAATTTAAAAAATATTACATTTAGATGAGTTTATATGAGATGAAATTGGTGAAATCGAAAAAATGAACGAGGGAGATCAAAAAATTTGAGACTAGCTGGTAGAATTAAAGCCGAAAAATTGACCTTATTGTGGAATAATTTGAAACAAACGATTTTTCATCCTTAGAACTACTTGTTTCAAACGTGCAAAACTTCAATTTTAGCATTTTTTTCTTTGCAAGAATTTCAATGTTTCAAAGTTTTAGGTTATCAAGACTTGTTTCCAAGTCAGTTAAGAGGGAGGAGGGCGGAGAATCTGTAGAGAAGAGGACCAAATCTGTAGAGAAGAGGAACCAAATCTCTAGAGAAAAGGAACCAAATCTGTACCGAGAAGGAATAAATCTGTAGAGAAAAGGAACCAAATCTGTACTGAAAAGGAACCAAATCTGTACTGAAAAGGAACCAAATCTCTAGAGAAAAGGAACCAAATCTCTAGAGAAAAGGAACCAAATCTCTAGAGAAAAGGAACCAAATCTCTAGAGAAAGGGAACCAAATCTCTAGAGAAAAGCAACCAAATCTCTAGAGAAAAGGAACCAAATCTCTACCGAAAAGAAACCAAATCTGCAAAGCAAGCAAAAATCTGTACTGAAAAGGAATCAAATCTGCGGATCGAGGTCAATTTTCAACAATTCCAATTCCAATTCCTAGCTGGCTACTGTTATAAAATTCCAATCAATTATCACCTAGTGGACGTCTGTTCTATTCTTTCTTTCTACAATTTGTAACTTATTTTGTTTCAAATATCGGGCCATGGTGGCCGCAAGAAGCCGGCTATTAAAACGATGAAGAAAACGGTGAAAAAGTGAAATCGTGAACCGGCTGCTCCGCTATTGCAACGATCCCCGTAACAGCTGCAGAGTTGCACCTAAAAATTGTGAAATTAACATGAAAATCCTATTAATTGCTTTATAAGAACTTGCTTTTAACGCAGTCAATTTTTTACAGTACTTTTTGAAGTTTAAAACAATTATTATGTTCCTTTTGATTGAGATCTTTTGATTGATTGACATTGACATCTAAAAGACATCTATTTTATTCAATTACCGTAGCTACACCGCCATTTTTTCATCCGATCAGCTCAATTTTGGTGTCATTCGATGAGGAATCATAAGGATCAGACAAAATGGTACAAAAATTGAGTTCACCGGATGTAGATTGACGGCTGGATTACGGCTGGCTTGATTTGACTGGCTTGATTTGAAAAATTGACGGCTGGATTACGGTAGTTGAATCAAATAGATGTTTTTTAGATAAAAATAGATAAAAACTTTAATTCTAAATGCGTGGAAATTAGATATGAGATTTCGGCTTTCAATTCGAATACAGAAAACGAAAAACGAACCTCTCCCAAAACATCTCGCTCTTGTTCTTTGGTCGGATTGAAGAGGCTCGCTCGTGAAAGCGTTCGGCATTGATTCTACAAAAGCTTTAAATAATGTTTTCTCAATTTTAAGCCATTAGTTTAATGGGTAACGTGTGTATTTCGATTGAGAGCATCGGTAAGAAAGCCATCAACTTCAATCCATCAACTCCAGGAAACACCGTTGAAATTGAAACACACAACTTTTGTTTACTTTTACAATTACTTTTGTTGAAGTATTTTTGTGAAGTAGAACTTGGAAATGCCAGCATTCCATTGGTGTTTACGTCAAAATTGGATATCCACGAAACCCACGAGTCATAAGGGTTCTACAGAGGTTTGTAAGCATGAGCTCGTGACCTAATGGATAGTGGCCTAGAACTCTCACTGTTTTTTTTCCTAAGTAGCCTTTTTGTAGCCTTTTGTAGCCTTTTGTAGCCTTTTGTAGCCTTTTCCTAAGTAGCCTTTTTCAAAATCGAAACAATCAAATTCAAGATTGAAACTGTTTTTTCTGAATTTCAAAACGAAAGAAACGCAAAACTCGCTCGTCAAGTCCAAATGCATCAATTGATTTGTTCAGCGCTCAAAAATAACGACAAAACTTGAAACACTAACATTCTGATTGAAGCGATGCGTCCGAATGGCGCTTTCGTTAAACCCGTTCCTCAGCACTCGATCCATACAACCGCGAATGTGCTTGAAACCGATCAGAACTCCTGAAAAATTGATTGGTTTCAAAATTAGTCCAGTTAAATTAAATATTTACGACCTAATTCGATGATACTCACACTTTTATAGGCACTTATTATCTAAAGACAATCGTTTGCTCAACTCACCAGCTTCAATGTCAGGCTCCATGAGACTCACGCAAACACTGCTGCAACCAATCGTCGGCATCGCTCTCTCTAACTGGGGATCTTTGCAACGATCGGTGAATACCTGAGCAAATCTTATTTGTAAAAATCTGTAAGCTTTTTCATGAGAAAATAAGTCTTTTAGACTTTTGCAAGATTTATATCATATTTTATAGTAAAATCTATTAAAAGATACTTTATTCAACATGAATAAGTGGATACAACACAACGGAGGACACAATTTTTACCCCTACAATGTAGTTAAGAAAAAACCCAACTTAATGGGAAAAAGAACACACTTGATTTTGCCAGCGAGATCGAAATCTCGACCTTCCGATTAGGAGACAAGACTCCTAACCAGTCGGCCAACTGGACTATTACAAAATCTTTTAACACATTGGATGTTTGTTTCCTTGTTCAATCAACTAACAATCTTTCCCATTCTTCAACAGTTATGCCTGACTTTCTACAAGATGTGTTATACCGCATATCGAGATTCTACCGCGAGCTCCAACTGATTCCTTGTTACCTTTATTCACTTTGAAACACGATCCTTGTAAAACTCGAAAATTACTCTAGTTAACTATTTTTTGAAAACGCCTTAAGACTATATAGCAAATACAGTTTTAGTGGGTTTATAATGCTCATGAGCAACTAATTTTTACACTCATCTTTTCAAGCTCTACAAAATGTTTTATACCGCATAGCGAGATTCCACCGCGAGCTCCAACCGGTTCCTTGTTAACTATCAATTCAACTGACAATATACGGATTGATTCATAGATTTTTTTTGACACTTCTTGTTTTACAAACGATTTTACAGTGACTTTTTCTAATCCTAGGCAAAATACGATATTATTTTTTTAATCAAATCCACTAATTTTCTCTAAAATCTAACAAAAAAACCTCAAAAAGCATTCTTGATGAGTTGAATACTAAAAAACATTAAAATCCTCATTTTCAAAGTATAAAATGGTAAATCGATGGAATTTCCGAAGTTTACAAGCATTGTGTTTCAAAGTAAACGCTGTTTAACCATTATTTCAATCGGTAATTTCATAAAAGCTGGTTGGGCAACTGATTGACTTTGGACTTTCAATAGTTCCTACTTGGTTCCTTTATAGTTCCTATTTGGTTCCTTTAAAGTTCCTTTATAGTTCCTTTATAGTCCTCTTATCGTTCCTTTATAGCTCCCTTATAGTTCCTTTATAGTTCCTTTATAGTTCCTCTCTAGTTCCTTTATAGCCCTCTTATCGTTCCTTTATAGTTCCTTTATAGTTCCTTTATAGTTCCTCTCTAGTTCCTTTATAGTCCTCTTATCGTTCCTTTATCGTTCCTTTATAGTTCCTATCTAGTTCCTTTATAATCCCGAATTCTCAAAACTCACTTTTGGCGACAAATACGTTGTGTGCAGGTACTTCCAACTCGTCTGATACGACAACGACATACAGCTATAGCATTCGATTTGTCGTGGAATCGCACCTGAATTGAATTTAGGTAGTTTTCACAAGAGATTCTTGTTGTCTCATCCGATTTTTAAACCTTTTTTCTCCACCAACGAAGCACAATTTCTTTTATATTAATTCTTAAACTCTTGTAGCCACCGGTTTTTCTTTGAAACATTAAATTTTTAAACAGTGCTATATTTACTTTAAATTGTTGACGACTTATTGAAATTTGAATTCAATAAACGATTTGATTGATTTTTGCTCACCATTTTAGCTCACCATTTACTTAACTCCTTTCTTTTTTCCTTTTTAAATAGATATTGGAATAGAATAGATAGAATAGATAGAAAGTTTTCTAATCATATCGTTTTGGATTTGTTTTTACTTTTAAATGACTTCTTTTGGTTTGATTTTCTTCTTTAACTTTTAAGAATTGGCTCTTATTCAAAGCACTTGAATTTTTTGAAAAATTCTAGCAAAAACTCACTCCAAAAACTCAACAAAACAGCAAAAAAGCAAAAAAAGCAAAACAAAAACTCACTATAATACTCGAAAGCATTGCAATGTTGTAGGAGAAATAATAGAAAAAACTCTACAAGAAACGAAAGATCCATTTAGCGTTTGTTCAGGCGCATAACTTGCCCTAGATTCTTTCTCTGAAATTTTCAATTGCGAAAGTGAAAATAAAAATGAATTTTAAAAATAAAGACTTCAAAGTTTAAAATTGTTGAATTGAAACGGAAAATCGAAAAAAAAATTTAAAAAAACTAAAATAAAAAACTAATGTTTCAAAAAAAACGACATTAGATTGATTTTTTGTCTTTAAGAATTTGTAAATTAAAATTTTGATGCTTTTGAAGTCGAAAGTTCGAAAGGTTTTAAAGTAATAGAGGAAAAGATACAAATATATACAAAAGAACAAGTTTAATTCGAATCACCGAATTCACTGAAAAATGGGTTTGTAATGTCAGTTAGACAAATTCCCAGCGTCAGTGGGCCTTGTCCTGGGCCTTTTCTAAGAACGGATTCAATAGCTAAAATTGTTTCAAATGCAGGATAGTTTAGAGAAAAAGGTACAAATAACAACAAATAACACTCAATAAGACATTAAATTAAATAATAAATCGATTTTTGAGATAAATTGTTTCAAAGTTGATAGTAATTAGTGGAGAATGATATTTCATTGTCCAGTAGTGTACGTTGTGTGCAGGTACTTCCAACTCGTTTGAATGCTTTTGGAGTCAAAAGTTCGAAAGGTTTTAAAGTAATAGAGGAAGAGATACAAAAGAATCTAATTAATATCTACAAACAACAATGTTTAATTGTTTTTAACTGAATTCGTTGAATTCACTGAAATAACTGAATGTTAGTGTTTTTAAAGTCAATGTTTCAAAGTTAGACTCAAATAGAAAGAATTCTCAGCGTCAATGAGCTTGTCTTTTTGTCCAATACTCAATAATCATCAAATCATCATTAAATCCACCAATTATCTCTAAAATCGAACAAAAAACCCCCTAAAAGCATTCTTGATGAGTTGAATACGAAAAAAACATATTAAAATCCTCATTTTCAAAGTATAAAATGGCAAATTGATGGAATTTCCGAAGCTTACAATCATTGTGTTTCAAAGTGGACCCTGTTTAACCATTATTTGTTTAACCAATCGGTGATTTCATAAAAGCTGGTTGGGCAACTGATTTGACTTTTGATTGGCAACTGATTGTCTTCAATAGAAATCCCGAATTCAAAACGACTTTTGGCGACAAATACAGTACTGGATAATGAAATATGATATTTGAAAAAAAAGATCGTCACTTTCGCGCGTCTGTAACTCCCATGTCTTTGAGTTTAAACTATTAGTGTTATACATTTTCTGAAAGCTCTTTTCAAGGGCTACACAATGGTAATATTAATATTTAGAAATACGGTAAAGACAAGGGAGTTACAGACGTCGTTACAGACGCGCAAAAGTGACGATCTTTTTTCAAATATGATATTTCATTGTCCAGTAGTGTACGTTGTGTGCAGGTACTTTCAACTCGTTTGAGTACTTTTGGAGTCAAAGGTTTAAAAGGTTTTAAAGTAATAGAGGAAAAGATACAAAAGAATATAATTAATATCTACAAACAACAATGTTTAATTGTTTTTAACTGAATTCACTGAAATAACTGAAATAACTGAATGTTAGTGTTTTTGAAGTCAATGTTTCAAAGTTAGACTCAAATAGAAAGAATTCGCAGCGTCAATGGGCTTGTCCCTGTCCTGGGCCTTTTCTAAGAACGGATTCAATAGCTAAAATTGTTTCAAATGCAAGATAGTTTAGAGAAAAAGGTCAAATAACAACAAATAACACTCAATAAGACATTAAATTAAATAATAAATCGATTTTTGAGATAAATGTTTCAAAAGTTGATAGTAATTAGTGGAGAATTTTATCAGAAAAAGCCAAGCATTGATTTTAAGATAAATGTTTCAAAGTTGGGAATTAACAAAAAGGATTTTCAATCCAAGTGCTTAATCTCACTTTTTCTCAACTTTTTAAAAGATTATTGATCGAGTAAGAATCCTTTTTCCTAGCGGAAATTCATTTTTTCGAAAATTTTGCTCTCCGTTCAAAACTGAGCTGTGCTCCCGCTCATGGCTCAAGTGTCCCAAGGATTTTGTGGGTTTTTTTCGAAAGAGTTTTCCTTTTCTTTTCTGTTCAACAAATGCCCACCTGGCGGCGATATTATGACAAAAATGACAATTGTTTAAAAGAGAGGAAAATGACGGAAAGATCAGTGGAACAGCAGAGATTTGAAGCCGGAAAAGTGGCTTGAAACAATTTTCTTGCAGCAAGCCAAGATTTTTTCAGTTTGTTAATTTCAGAATATGAAACAGACTTTTAAAAAACACTTTCAACAAGCTATCCAAATAAAGATTTGGATCCAAATAAAGATCCAAATAAAGATCCAAATAAAGATTCAAATAAAGATCAAACTTTGATAATCAGTCTAGAAATTCACATAAACTTTAACATAAACTCGTAACAATAAACTTTGGCAATCATTTTATTAAGCGATAATATTCTTGTTAAACTTTATATGTTTTAAAGAGGAAATGTCAAGCTTTCAAATGATATAAAATAGAAAAATTTGTAGAGAACATTTCTATAGTCGAATTATAGTTATGGTTATAGTTAGAGTCAAGATTTAGCGTGTTATAGTTAGAGTCAAGATTTAGAGTATAGTTATTGTTAGAATCAAGATTTAGAGCATAGCTATGGTTAGAGCCAAGATTTAGAGTATAGTTATAGTTAGAGTCAAGATTTAGAGTATAGTTATTGTTAGAGCCAAGATTTAGAGTATAGTTATAGTTAGAGCCAAGATTTAGAGTATAGTTATCGTTAGAATCAAGATTTAGGGTATAGTTATCCTTAGAGCCAAGATTTCTATAGTCGCTTCAACTTTGAAACACAGGTACACTCCGCGCCAAAATACCCTAAATTTGCCCCAATGATGTGAGTGAATGGGTTTCTCCTGAAAAAGTCCCAAAATCGAGAAAATGTTGTTTGGAATAGAGATGGGATGGGTGAGTGAGTGTGTGCGGGGGTCATTTGTTTTTGGCGTTCCCCAGGGGATCGTCTCCCTTCCCTTCTCCTCCCCTTTACATCTCCTAAACAACGATTATCGAAGTTTCAACTACTTTCCCCATTTTTCGAGAAGCTATTTCAGCTAGTCTTTTGAAAGCTTTCGAAAGAATAAGGTACTTGTTTCAAAATGTCGCTTGCTTTAAAGCTGTTGCTTTAAAAAGTTGAAAATTTGAAAATTTGAAAGTTTGAAAAGTTGAAAATCCAATAGAAAGTTGTCAAAAAGAGTTTCGAATTAAAAAGCTAGGAGTAGGAATTGATTAGTTTGCAAAATTGGTATTTAAACTGCTTGTGATGAAAGATAACCCTTTGAATATGTAATTTTTAGTTATTATGATTATGATGAAAACTATTGCAATATAACGCAGTTTACTATTGCAACATAGCGCATTTTATTAGAAAAAAGCTAGCTGATTTTGAATATGCAATCAGAACGACGAAAAGATTGTGGAAAATTGTGGAAATCGATTGAAAATGACCTCAAATTTGTTGATTTTTGAAAGCTTTTCTCGGATTTTTGGCAAAGATAAGCAAAGTAAGCAATGATTTTTCGGAAAAAGAAATAGCATCTCTTTGAGACAAATCAAAAAGTGAGCTAGTGAGCTAGACAAATCAAAAGTGCGCTAGTGGATAACCCCTGGACGTCACTCTTGATCTTTTTGACCCTGATTCGGATCCGCTTTCGACCAAAGCTTTTGCTTTTTTGAAAGACAAAAAGCCTTGTTTCAAAAAATCAATGTCTAAACAATTTTGATAAATTCAATTGATGGCTTTGATAGAGTGTGTTTCTTTCGAGTAAGTATTGGGTTGGTGAATTGAAAACTGTCGGCTATTGTCATATGTCACAGTTTGAGCACTTTCTTCAAAAGAAACCCATTTTGGTGTCAATGGAAAAGTTGTCGAGAATCAAAAATGAAGCTTATATCCAAATTTTCAGAACGATTCAAAAACTGGTTTTCAAAGAAATGCCAAATTTACGAATTTTCACAAAAGTTGCATTTTAAGCGGAACTACCAAGTGTATCTTTTTGGAAATTTGGCGATAAGCCTAATTTTTGATTCTCTACAACTTTTCTATTGACAACAAAATGGGTTTCTTTTGAAGAAAGTGCTCAAACTGAGACATCTCCAGTCCTCCATTTTTGAGTCTCACACTTGTCTCACACACAAACCAAAATCCTACTACGAAAGAGGAAACCGCAAATTGCCTGTAAAATGGGCAGAAGTCGTCAATAATAATGGAAATTATTTGGAATCAATTTATGGTTTTATGTTGAATAAATTTAGTTCAAAGTCCCGCAGTTTTCAATTCATCAACCCAATAATTAAAGTAAAAGCTCGAGGCAAATTTTCAACGGTTTTTCCTTCTTTC